TCTCTCTCTCTCTTTCTCTCTCTCTCTCTCAGCATCTTTTGTGAATACATGCGTGTACGTACTAATTATGCAAACAATACAAAGAGGAAGAAAGGACGGTTCAGGATGTAAGAAAATATACTTTAGGCATCAGTAAAGAACACATTGACTATAATATGCTTAGGAATCGAGTACTTTACACCTACTTGGAGTCGGACTCGTGTGCACGCGCCGGGCGCGCGTGTGTGTGTGCGTGTGTTTGTGTGTGCGTTTGTGTGTGTGTGAGTTTGTGTGTGTGTATACATGTGCATATGTGTGTTCGTGTTAGTGTGTGTGTGTGTGCGCGCGCGCGCGCATGTGTGTGTGTATACATGTTTTGTGTATACTTTTAGCAAGAACATAAACAATAAAATGAGAAAAATCCAGCCTGTAGCGAGCACTCACCGCAATAGTCCCTGTCAAAACCTTGATCCCGTGGGACTACCCTGTCCAGCAGTCTTTTCTGTGGGGAGGCTGCCAGGCAGGCCACGGAGGCAACAAACCAGCAGTTGCCTGGAGGGGGGAGGGTGTTTTAGAACGATAAAGATACAATTAGATGAGATGAGATGAGAAGAGAAAAGATAAGGTAAGATAAGATAAGACGAGATATGATAAAATAAGAAAAGAAACGATGAGTTGAGATGAAATGATTTCAGTTGAGATGAATTGAGATGAGATGTAAGACAACAATGTATTGCTCTTCATAATAATAACTTTGCCGCGGCAGTATAATTGCGTAAACGCACATGCACTCGTCAACACAAACACAAACACACACACACACACACACACACACACACACACACACACACACACACTAGTACAATACCGTATTTATAAAATTTTGTTAGGTATACTGGGAAGTAGAAAACGAAAAAACCTAAGAGTACTCATATTAAGGACTAGATTTGATTAGATACTGCAACTTGATATGAAATGGCATGGGGTAGATCAGATTAAACGAGTTAGTTAACACCAAACAAAAGGTTTGTTACAAGAATCTTCAATACGTTTTAACTGGCACACAAATCAGTGTTGACTAGAAAAGACACTACAGCTACACGTTGGTTGTTGCGAAACTCTTCTTTTGAACGTGAAAGTTCCTCTTTATTTTAGATGTACAAGTACTATGTCACTAGGAGAGGCCATTGGCTATTTTCATGAAAAATCTAGCACAGATTAAATACTGAAATCTAGAAATTACTCGCTTTCAGGGCATGTCTGAGATTTAAAGATAAATCCTTTGGTATCGGGAGAGGCCCATTGCTATTTTCAGGAAAAATCCAGCATAGACTGAATACGGTAATCTAGAAGTTACTCATTCTCGCTCTCTCAAGCACCGGGTGTGGAACAGAAATAGGCGATCATGAGGTTCCACTCCGTCCAGTCTTGGTCGGAAATGTTCTGTATCCTGACTATTAATTCTGGTCGCCCAAGAATTTAGACGTCTTATATAATCATTAAGTTGCTCTTAGCTTGCATTTATCTCTTTTTCCCATTATCTTTCACCTTAAGACAAGACAAGCAAGACCTTTACAACGGTATATGTGCTCGGATATTGTATCCGTCTCCTCTTGCTGTTTTTATTAGCCGTCGTCGCAGATTTAGCACAGTAGAAAAACAAACGTATATTTCTACTGTTCAATGTGAACTCTCTATTGTAGATATCAACCCCCCCCCAACCACACACACAGAGAAAAAACCGTTTGCCTTATTTCGTCCGAGACAAAGTACACGTTTCTATTTTATGCATACATACCATGCCCTTTGTTAATTTGATGAAGATTCATGTATCTTATGCAACACGATTGATACCTCTTTCATCAGTATACGTCCTATTCAGAAAGAATAGCGGGAAGGGATGGATGTTGTATTCTTATACGGGGTGCCCACTACGGCTGGGATCGGCCGATCGGGCCAATCGCCCGACTCGATCGCCTTAAAAACAAACGTGTTTGTTTTCAGTTTCAGGCGATCGAGTCGGGCGATCGGCCCGATCCAGCCGTAGTGGGCACCCCGTATTAGATTTTTTTTTAAATCTTTGAGAGGGTTTTAACAAGGTTGAAAATGATACATGATATAAGACTCTCCATTGAAATAAATAGAAACATGCATTTTAAAAGACGGGTTATTTACCGATTTCTCCTTGCTCCATGTCATAGTAGTCAGGGTTTCCATGGAAAAACTCAGGTCTTGACACAATCTCCTGAAATATAAAAGAAATCCGGTTTATACGTAGGAAGTAGAGTGTATATCTTGAAAACAAAGAGAGCATTACAGTGTGATATTTGTTTTAAAAGAAAGCAACATTTGAAATAAAAAAGAAAATGGCACACTTGCAAGATTGGGTTGTCGCCAAGGAGAGGACAGACGAAAAAGCGGCGAGGGGTGTGGGAAGAGGAAACTTTTCACACTCTTGACATTGGAATAATATCTCTGGGTTTGATAGACTTCGCTTCAAATAAGAATTTCTTTTTCTTTTTTTATAATATGTATATTATTTTTTCAGGGCT